TGCATGTACAATTACAGTGGTAGCGACTTCGGCGACAAGTTTATAGGAATGTTGGTCGCTAAGCACAACGTTCGTCAGCCTACTCAAGCTCAACTGCATGAGGGGTGAATTCCCCGAAACACTGTGTATTGAGCAGGGAGTGGTGCTTTCTTGCAGGTTTGCCGGAAGGAGGGCTCGAGGGACTTCTTCTCTGCTCTAGATGGCAGTTGTGAGTCAGTCAAGTGTCTGGATGGAAGTCGTGAGTTTGTCAAGTTTCTGAATGGCAGTCGTGAGTCAGTCAAATGTCCAGTCAAGGCGGCAGAAAAGCTCGACCTCTAGTATGGGGTGCAACCAACTTTCCATGTACATAGTCATTTTTGTCGTAGCATTTGTAAATCCAAGTCTCAAGCATTTGAGAAGTGATTATATTCATGGAGCCTGCTATTCTGGTATTTCTAGAGTTGCATTTTCAACTTGTTCTGCGGTGCCTTCCACGGTACTTGCTGTTGCACTTGCCACGTGTGTGCATACAATCGGTGGCTGGGCTTTCACAACGATTTCCGTTACCTTTCTTGTATTTCTTTGCTTGCATGTATCTCTGAAGGACCATAATGCTGATTCGTATTTGTGGGTCCCAGGACATGCGTGAAGACCACTCACTGCTTATGCATGTGAGCAGAGGAACTCCATCATTACACATCAAACACTTCGCTCTTTACGTCTCTTCCGGGTGATGTTGGCATAAGTTGAGTTGTTCTTTGGTGCTGGGCATACTACATCTGATGGTACATCGCGCACTACCCAGCACCCTAAGTTGGGTTTCAGGGCTATTCATAATTATTATATTGTGTTGTCCCTATTTGGACCACGAGTCATTATATTGATGCAACAAGAAACGGAGGCATGTCGTGAGTGATGATAGAAGCCATTATTATTACTATTATTATAAGTCTGTTGGCGTTGCCATGACCAAGCAAGCTTGGCTAGCCAGACAAAAGAAACTAGAAACAAGCGAGGTCAATGAGGTGAACACATGCGCATGCAACTGCAGAATAGGTAAAACAGAAATATAATTGCCGGTATATCCAGACAGTCCAAAAAGCACAAGGGGTTAATAATAAATTTGAATAATAATATAATAAT